GCTGTGCGGGAAGAGGAGGAAGCGGAGGAGGCCGGGCCGGCGCCGCGCACGCGGATTTTCAGTTTCATAGACGTAGGTTAGGCACCTGCAGGGGGCCGTGCCGGGCCCTGCGCTGGGTAGGGCAAGGGGGGCCCTGGGCCAGAGCTCCCCGATGAAGCAGAAGTGAATTCCGACCCTCACAGCCTTTACGCGAGAAATGAGATCATTGTGGGGATGTGCTTCAAGGGTGGTTTATAGATGAGTTGAGATGGGGCTTGTATTGGTATAGGACGGTGAAGCTGGGTCATGGGAACCTGGGGTTTGTCACACAGTTTCTCCACTTTTCTGTCTGTAATTTTCCATAATAAAAGTACCTACACGTAAAAATGGAGAGAGAAGAGCCAGCAATTAATCTTTCCAAATGGATTCTGCCCTCAAAGGATTGACAGTCCTTTTCTCTGTCACACTCCGATAATAATTAGAATAATTGTTTTTTGAGGAGCCGTTTTTCTGGCCCCTGGAAAGCCTGTCGTGAAATCAGCTGCTACAGCATCAACATACATCCGTGGTCAGAGGTCTCAGTCCAGCCAACTGCCCAGGTGGCTTCTGGATTTGAGGGATTATCCGTGGATCAAGTATAATCCCAGGCTGTCTGCCCCCACCGGTCCCCAGTAGCTTCAGGCCTCCCATCCTCAATCTTGGGGAACGGGACACGGTTCACCCTTTCAAGTCCAGCTGCAGGGACACCTGTGAGGGAAACATATTTCCAGCCCTGCGTTCATGACCAACCACTTCATCGTTAGCTAGTGGTGGGAGAGGCTGCTTAGTGGAAGGCAGCTTGCCTCCCCTAGAGGGGCTCGTCTACCACCAGCATAGGGGAATGAGGTTTTTAGAAGGAAGCAGAGATCAAATTCTGAAATCAAATGCCATCAAACTGACACCAGCAAGCGGGCACTGACTCGGGGTCACAGCTGCGTTCAGTCAGAGGCCCTGTCCTCGCCCTGCTAGTGGGGTCCTAATGAAGACGTGATGTGGCTCAGTGGTTAAGCCTTGATCTGTGAACTGGGAGGTCAGGGTTTGATTCCCCATCGGGGCACATGCCCGGGTTGCAGGGGGCCTGTGGGAGGCAGCTGATCAATAATTCTCTCTCATCATTGATGTTTCTATCTCCCTCCCTCTCCCTTCCTCTCTGAAATCAATAAAAAAAATATTTTTTTAAAAGATGTGATGTGGGGGTTTTCTTTCTCTTTGGGGGGTTGTGTGTGCCAGCCTTCCCTAAAATATCCTCTGCCAGTGTCACCAGTGCCACCCACCCCCAGACATCTGAGCCCAGAGCCACGTATGTATGGAGCACCTACATGGGCAGGACTCCCTGTCTGCTCCAGCTGCCACCAGCCCAGAGAGGAGGCCCATCCCAGCCACAGGCCTCTTTAAGTTCCTGTAGTCAGTATGGAAGCCCATCCAGGGTGTGTGGGTAGCTGGGGGAGCAAGGGGGTGGGGGGGCTGGAGAAGCCTCAGAGAGCCCAGGAGAGCTGAGGCAAACTTGGAAGAATGAGTTGAAGTTAGGCAGGCCTTGGAGGGGGAGGGGAAGGCATTCCAAGCAGAGGAAACTGCTTGAGGTAAAGAAAAAAACACAGCATGGTAAGTGCTAGAGGTGTGTGGGAGACTAAGCCCTTCTGGCATTTATTAGAAAATTAAGCAGGGTCATGTGATTGGGGGCCATTTAAGGCATTTTGATTTTATCCTGTGGCTGGAGCAGCCCTGGGTGAGGGGGGTCTACTTGGGGACTTGGTCAGGTGAGCATTAGTGGGCCTGCCTGAGGCTGCACTGCGGAGGATGGATGTTTTGTTTGAGACGGGGTGTGGGGTCCAGACGAGAGTCGGAGGGACAGATAGGAGGCTTTTGTGGGTAATCCAGGCCTGAGCTGATAACGGCTGGCCGGAACTTGGCAGTGATAGCAGCAACTGCAAAGGCCACACAGATGAGAGAAGCATTTAGGAAGTAAATTTCCAGAAGGGGTGGGATAGAGAGAGAGAGAGGAAGAGGGGGTGACCCAGGGGTTTTAACTGGGGTGACTGGGTACATGGTGACACCTTTAGATAGGGGCCCTGCAGAAACAGGTCAGGGTGGGTAGCAGGGGGAAGAAGGAGGAGGGGGTGAAGTTTAGATTGTTAGTAAGTTAGAGTTGATCCTGGGCCCAAGGGGGTGCCCAGTATGCAGTGGGGCGGCCTGATAACCAGTACAGGAAGGCCATCTGTCCGCTGGGTTGCTCCCTCACTTCCCATATCCAATAGATTTCCAGGTCCCAGGACTCTGCCTACCAGATCTCTCTCCGGCCCTGCCCTTCCCAGCCCTGTAGTCAGAGCCTCCTGCTCGGTGGGTGTGTGACCTATGCAGTGCACAGGACCCCACATGTAGAAGGATCCCATGCTTGTTTACTGCTCTGTCACTCTTTAAACCCCTAATACTTTTTGGACAAGGGACCCTGCATTTCCCTTTTGCACTGGACCCCACAAATTATATAGCTGGTCCTGCCCACGGATGTAGTTAAAGGGTCCCACTATCCCCCACACTGGGCCCTGTTTCCCAATCCCCCCAAGCTCTCTCCTCGCTCTCGTCCTCTGCAATGTGATCTTTCTAAGCATAGGTCTGAGCATAAAGCCCACCTGCTCTGCTCAACAACCTTCAACAACAACCTACGCACTATCTGATAAAACCCAAATTCCTTAGTGGAACACCAAGGTCCTTGTTCTGGCCAATTAATCATAATCCACCTCTAACCTTGTTTTTCTCCTTCCTTCCTTTCTTCCCTCCCTTCCTCCCTCTCTCCCTGCCTCCTTCCCTTCCTTTCTCCTTCCATCCTTCCCTCCCCGCATTCTCAGGCTCCTTCCTGCACACCGAGCCGCCTGTTTCTTGCCCAGCATTTTGCTTCTCCACTCTTTCTACAGGACCTGAGTGCTTCCCCCATCCCTTTGTATAGGAGCCCCTCTTCACCTTCACACACCACCTTGGGAGCTACTGTTGTACCTACAAAAAGCCACCCCTTAACCCCCCTCCCCCCCTCCCAGTCTCCTGGGAGTTCTCCTCCCCCAACCTGATGCATGAATGTATCTGTCCTGCCATTAGCCCGCAGGCTCCCAGGACTTATCCCACCATCTGTGACTCCATCAAATACCTAGCACATGGTAGGAGCTTAAAGCTGGTGGAATGGAATCCAGTGCTTGCTAAGACTTGA